CACACGAGCACATGAATAAAAAAAAAAAAATTCATCTCCTCGTGTGAATTTACACGAGCACTTGCCAAGTGCTCGCGTAAATTCACACGAGCAGATAAGGTTGTGGGAAAAAACGAAAAACTTACATTCGGGTCTAAGTTGTTTGGATCCATCGCAAAAATTGTTGAATACCTGAATTTTTTCACTTTGAATGTTGAGTTTTATATTTTATAGGATTGGATAGGAATAGTACAAAAGGTAAATAGTTATGGTAAAAAGGTAAAAAATCATGGTAAAAAAGTGCCTGAATGTTTAATTTGGCATGCGTATATTATTACCCTTTATAAAACAATTGAGAATTGAAATGATTGGTAACCGTTGGGCATTGGTAAATGAGCAGAAAAGAAGGGGCAAATTAGTAAGTGGATTCAAACTGCAAGGGTAAAATGGGAAAGAGTAAGCTGGGTGTAAGAGTGGGCCCCGCCATTACGAAAAAATCTTTTAACTTTTCGAGGATTCCCTTTTTACCCCTCCCTCGTGTTCAAAAAGCCAAAATTCTCCATCAAATCAAATGTAATTAAGAATTACAGTACTACTAACTAGTACACAGTCCCATTATCATTAAAAAAAAAAAAAAATAAAAAAAAAAAAAACACAGACAAGTATGTATATCTCTGCAATTACATTGGATTTTTCGAAGCTCCCAACGGAGAAAAGTGAAAGAGAGAGATAGAGGAGAGGTCTTTCTCAGTAACACCCCTAAAAAAGATAGAAGAGTTCTTCTTTGCTTGCTTGCTTGTATTTGGGGTTTCCATGGTGGTGGGTTTGTGTTATTGAATATTGAGCTTGCAAAACGATTCTGATCTTGGTTGTTGGGAGTCGGTGGTTGTTAACCAGAATAATATATATAATGGGTGCACCGGAGTTGTTTATGGTGAAGGCGGCGTTGGTGTTGGTATGCATATGTGGGGGGGTAATTTCATCGGCATCTCCTTCTTCAAGACAGAAGCTTGAGGTTCAGAAGCACTTGAACAGGCTCAATAAGCCCCCCACTAAAACCATTCAGGTCAGCTCCACCACCACCCACCCATTTTTACTTTTATTTTATCTTGTGGGTTTAGATAGATAGATCAGAAATTGTGTGTGTATTTACTTGGGTTACTACAGTAACAAATTAGTTATTGAGCCCTAGTTTTGTTGAGTTCATTTTATCAGAAATGTATGTATGTATGTAATCTCTTCTTCTTCTCAGTTAATTACAAAATAATTAATTTGTGGTGGTAACTGGTAACAGAGCCCAGATGGGGATATCATAGATTGTGTGCACATCTCTCATCAACCAGCTTTTGATCATCCTTTTCTCAAAGACCACAAAATCCAGACAATGCCGGAAGCCCTAAAATTTGCTGACAACAAAATGTCTGAAGAAGAGACAACAATTAATTCAATCTCTCAGCTGTGGCATATGAATGGCAAGTGCCCTCAAGAAACCATTCCTATTAGGAGGACAAAGAAAGAAGATGTGTTAAGGGCTACTTCTGTCAAAAGATATGGTAAGAAGAAGCACAGAAGCCTACTCAAACCCAGGTCTGCAGATCCAGACCTCATTAATGAAAGCGGTCATCAGGTAATTTATTTACATGGTAAAAGAAAAAAAAAAAAGAAAAAAATCCATAAAAGATTGCTTTTTTCTTTTTCTTTTTCTTATTATGTAACTACTTTTCCATTTGCTCTGAACTGAACTGAACTGAATTAGTTTATTTTTGTAATGTGTTACCACCAGCATGCTATAGCTTATGTGGAAGGGGATAGATACTATGGAGCAAAAGCTACTATTAATGTTTGGGAACCCAAAATACAACAGCCCAATGAGTTCAGCTTGTCCCAGATTTGGGTCTTAGGTGGTTCTTTTGGTGAAGATCTTAATAGTATTGAAGCTGGTTGGCAGGTATTATTTATCACTCACTCACTCCCTCACTCCCTCATCAGGGAAATCTTTATCTTTATTTGTAATGTATTGTGATGTAATGGATTAATGATGGATATATATATGTACATGATTTCAGGTCAGTCCAGATCTCTATGGAGACAACAACACCAGGCTCTTCACTTATTGGACCGTAAGCTCGATCTACTAGCCTTTTTGTTTTTGTTTACTTTTGACCTTAATTTTCATGCGATTTTTTCTTAGTATCTTCAATTTGTGATTGTTACAGAGCGATGCATATCAAGCAACGGGCTGCTACAATCTTCTATGCTCGGGCTTCATTCAAGTCAACAGTGAAATAGCAATGGGTGCCAGCATCTCTCCTGTTTCTGCATACCGGAATTCGCAATACGATATTAGCATTCTCATCTGGAAGGTAAAAATACACAATTCACCACCAATCGCCATAATTAGTTTCTTTTTCTTTGCTTTTCAATTGGCATAATAATTAGTTGGCTCAACTGTATTGAAAATTAAAATGGTGGTGATAATCATATCCCTGTCCTGGAAAAGAAAAAAAAAGAAAAAAGAGTAACAAGCATGTGATTGAATAATACTGTTCATTTCTTGCTTTATAGTCACACATTCTTGGATATCATTTCGCTCTATTGAAAGACAATCTGTTTATAACTTGTCATTCTTGCTTCGTGGTGCATTCCAAATAAATCGATTTATTCACAAGATATATTTTGATTATTGTTTGTTTATAGGATCCGAAAGAGGGACATTGGTGGATGCAGTTTGGGAATGGGTATGTATTGGGGTATTGGCCATCATTCTTGTTCTCATACTTGGCAGAGAGTGCATCAATGATCGAGTGGGGTGGGGAGGTAGTAAACTCGGAGCCCGATGGGCAGCACACATCTACACAAATGGGAAGCGGTCATTTTCCAGAAGAAGGTTTTGGAAAGTCGAGCTATTTCAGGAACATACAAGTTGTTGACAGCTCCAACAACCTCAAAGCTCCAAAAGAACTTGGTACTTTCACTGAGCAATCCAATTGCTATGATGTCCAAACTGGGAGTAATGGGGATTGGGGGCATTACTTTTACTATGGAGGCCCTGGTAGAAACCCTAATTGCTCTTAATTTCATCATCCCAACAAAAAAATGAAAAATGAAAAAAAAAAGTGAGCCCTTTGAAGCACCTCCTCTGTAACATTCAACAACCCCTTGTTTTTTTTTTTTTTTTGAAATTTAAAATTGTCTAGTTATGTTAGAGGTTTGTGTAGTGTGAATGCAAGTTAACTGTGTAGTGGGAAGTTTTTGACCCTTGATTTAGATTTCCTCGAAAGGTTGTTTTTTTTTTTCTAGGTCCATATCCATGTAAGTGAATGGTGGGTGGCCATGTTTCTTGAAAAGATGAAAAGAAAGCAGCAGGCCCTCCTTTGTCATTTTCTCTCTCTCTTTCTTTCATTCTTTCTTTATTATTATTAATATGCTAATCAACTTTATGATTATGTAGAATAAACAAAAGATAATGACAGTGCTTAGTGACAATAATAACCAATAGTAATATTAAAGTAATCATAATGAATGGAAAATCTTTTAGTAGGACTGTAGGAGTTTGTTTAATGTTGTTGGGTTTTCTTTCTTTTAAAGTGGAATGTGATGACTGAAAAGATTTGCATGTGAGTGGAATGAACAAAAGTTTATTTAATCTTTGGATTCTTGATGCCACGCCCACTTCTTTTGAGTGAGAACCCACTAACCTTTTTCTTTATAATAATATTGTTATATATATTATCTTTTTCCTATCTTTTGCATATTATTAGCCCTCATTTCATATCATATCATATATTACTAAAGTTATTATTACTATTATTTTTTTTATTTAGAAAGGAACACACATTTTATATATATGTCCACTCAATAACTACATTCTAGCATAATGCAAATGCAATTACACAAAAAAAAATGTGAAATGTACTTTAAAACGAATTATTCTCAAATTTATTTTATAAGAAAATATTTTGTTTGAACGTTTTGACAGTAACGAGTAAAGGAATGTTTTTTTGTATTAATTAATAGATGAAGTTAATGAGAGAGAGAGAGAGAGAGAGAGAGAGTAATTTATACAGTGCTCACGGGTGGTCATATACAGACATACAGTTAAGAGATTAGAGATACAACAGTGAGCGATGATGATGGAATATGGATGGGTTCTTCAATTTTCAACTCTTGACAAGTGCTTCGATGGAACACCCATATTAAAATATTTAGCTTATTAAAATCAAAAAAAAAATAATTCCAAGCCCGAGCCCATGCCTTTATGGGCTATACCCAATTGAACTATGTCCGGCTTTAATTCTAGGCCCAATTTTATTTTTTCATCCATATCTTATTTTTACTATTTTTCACTTCACCAAATAAATAAATAATAATGCATAAATGCTGCTTTTTTATTATTCCATAAGATATCAACTCTTACGGATTAACTAATCTATGTTCAAGGTTTATTATCTTTTCTTTTTTGTTAAAGACAAATACAAAATTAGAGAGTAGTAATACTCAATTACAATAATCACTCTCATTTTTAAGCATCTTATTATATAAGATATGATACTTTTTTTTTTTTTGATGAGAATATAAGATATGATATACTAGTAGATATCTATATAAGTATATGTTATGTAATTACCAAGCATGTGTGTCCAGTAATTAAGAACACGTATCGGACTAGACTTATGTCTGAATATAATCTCACTCGCCATATCTAATATCTCATTGGTTCGTGATACCCACGCCTTTTTCCACAACTCTGCATCCCATTCCCCTCCGACTAAATTCTCAGCTGTTACTTTATACATTTACGACCACAGAATTACATATTCTATTAAAATATATATATTTTTTTCGTTTTTTTCTTCTTTTATTTATTTATTTATGTCTGTGTATTTTTTTATTTTTATTTTAATATCCAGAGGGGTACACTTTACTCTTTCTTCTCCACTGTCTCTGCTCTATTTCTCTTTCTAAACAAAACAACCTTTGAGACCTGCATTCTTTCTCCCCACATACTTACATTTCACTTCCTTTGTTTTAATTTTCTAGGGTTTCTAATATTAATAGTCTGCTTTGCCCTCAAACTCTTACTGTTGAACAAGAATTGCATTTTTTTTTTTTAATTTTGATTTTTGTTTATCCCTTTTTCTTCTACCCTTTTAACCGTGGCGAGGGGTAGGAAGTTAGGGCAAGACCACAAAGTTTCTTGGTGTTCACCATGGTGAGGGGCAGGCATTTTTCTGCAAGACAGTAGCTTATTTAGCTAAATTATTGAGAGAAATGCCTCAATTTTCTCTGAGATAGAGGTAACCTCGCGTATATGCTTCAAAGTTTGTGTCTTTATTGTCTTGTTAAGTTCATAATTACTGATTTTACTGTTCAATTTTAATGGAATTGTGCAAGTGGGACTGCTGGGTTCTGGTTTTATTTGATTAGGGTTTTGAGTTTTCTGATAAAGTTTAGTTTTCTTTGCTGGGCAACTAATGAGTTTTTGTGGTAGTTGTAGATGATAGAAATGGAAGAGGAGCATGGCTTGATCCTGGCATGTGTAATTTCGGGGACCCTTTTCTCTGTTCTGGGTGCTGCTTCTTTTGCTATACTCTGGTTGGTCAATTGGCGGCCTTGGCGCATTTATAGGTGATTCTCTTTGGCCCGTGTATCTAGTTTTCTGTACCCATTTTTTTTTTATTTTCGGGATCATATCAATTTGATTGCAGTGAAATCTAGTCTTTAATAGACGGATTAGAGTTTACGCACATTCTAATTAATGAAGATACTGAGCTGTATTCTTGTTAGTTAATGCTGATATTATTGTTTTTCCTTTATCTTTGAGATCGGTTCTATGTCTCTACATTGGAAGTGTGATGTGGGGCATGCCGCACTAATTGGATTAGCCACAATAAGATTGGTCGAATGAGAATAATTATTACTTGCAGATCATATGTTCTGTCACAATTAATAAGATTTTTTCACATACCGTATTAATTGGAACTATAAATGCGTTAATGGAATTTAAGAGCGGCTGAAGTTTTTAAGAACTTAGCAGATGTGAAATTGTTCTTTATTCAGTAAATGATGTATACAAAGTAAATGTTCCTGTAAAATCTCATCTAAATGCTATTTAGCCCTGTATTTCTTGTAATATCTTCCATGTCTTCGTATCTATATTAAGGCTTTGAGACTCTAGGATTCTTTATCAGACACGATTGTCTGATTTCTGGAAGATGTAGCAATTCACGTGTCTTGCAGAAAGTCTGTACCTAGGTCAATGTATCCTGAATACTAGTTTCCCTTTTATTGGAACACACTAAGCTCTTAGTTCAGTTTGAGCTTAAACGGAGTCTTGAATTCATTGATAACTCAACGTGCAATGGAATGCAAGAAGCAGCTTTGAAAGTTCAGTGTGGTGGTTCATTCCAATATCTTTGTTATTGTTAACAATAGAAAATAATTTATCTAGTTCACTAACCTATTATTTTAAATTTTCACACCATTTAGCATATCAAGTGAAACTATTTATATAACACAACATATCTATATCTACAATTTTGACTGAATTCTTCCTCACTTGTCTTTTCAGTTGGATCTTTGCTAGAAAATGGCCGGATGTCTTGCAAGGACCTCAGTTGGGAATATTATGTGGTCTTCTTTCTCTCTGTGCATGGATGATTGTTATTTCTCCCATTGTGGTGCTTATTGTATGGGGATGCTGGTTGATAGTGATATTAGGGCGAGATATAATCGGTCTAGCCGTTATAATGGCTGGAGTTGCTCTGCTTTTGGCATTCTATTCCATAATGCTCTGGTGGAGAACACAATGGCAAAGCTCAAGTATGTATATAGACTGAACTTTCTGTTACAGCTTAGGCATGTTCTTTTCACACTAATCCCATTTCATCTAACCCTTATAACAATCTTGTACAGGGGCTGTTGCGATTCTTCTTCTTCTAGCTGTTGGGTTGCTTTGTGCATATGAACTTTGTGCTGTATATGTTACTGCGGGTGCAAAGGCATCTGAGCGATATTCACCTTCTGGCTTTTTCTTTGGCGTGTCAGCAATTGCCCTAGCAATAAACATGCTATTCATATGTAGGATGGTCTTCAATGGTAAGTCTTGCATTTGTTTTCTCTGGGCATCAAATTTTACGTTAGTTGTACTTTGTTTATCCTTTTTGTATGAATCTGGCAGGCAGCGGTGTAGATATCGATGAATATGTGAGAAGGGCATATAAATTTGCTTACTCTGATTGTATTGAGGTTGGTCCTGTTGCTTGCTTACCTGAACCACCAGATCCCAATGAGTTATACCCTCAACAATCTAGAAGGCAAGTCTTACGTCTAATTGTTTTCATTTAATGTCAATGTGCTCCACATGGGTCTTTCCTTGCCGATCTCTTCATTGTAGATCTTACTAATGCTCTTAGGCTTATGCTTTTGTTTGTAATGTGATTTCTATATGTCCATTCTGTGATATCTTATCTTGAGTTTTTTAACTAATGCCCATTGCATTTGATCCTTTCAGGGCTTTACACCTCGGGCTTCTCTATTTTGGTTCCCTTGTAGTTCTGCTTGTATATTCGATCTTATATGGCCTGACAGCCAAAGAGTCACACTGGCTCGGAGCCATCACATCAGCTGCAGTAATTATTCTTGGTATATCCACTAACTACATAAGTACATTACTCCAAATTCTCCAATATGCAATTCTTCGGTTATCACAATCCTAATATTGTTTTGTCTCTGATAGATTGGAATGTTGGAACATGCCTTTATGGATTTAAGCTGCTTAAAAGTCGTGTTGCTGCACTTATAGTTGCTGGGATTTCTCGTGTCTTCCTGATATGTTTTGGAGTCTATTACTGGTTCGTTTTTCATCTTGTTTTCAACAACATTCTACACCTAAATACCTATTTCTTTCTTCCTGTTTATTTGATCAAGACTTGAACCACAATTTCGTTGTTACAGGTATCTAGGACATTGTATTAGCTATGCAGTTGTGGCATCTGTGCTTCTTGGAGCTGCGGTTTCTCGCCATTTGTCAGTCACTAACCCGTCCACTGCAAGAAGAGATGCGTTGGAGAGTACAGTAATTCGCCTCAGAGAAGGATTCCGTAAGAAAGAGCAATGCTCATCCAGCTCATCTGAAGGCTGTGGTTCAAGTGTGAAGCGGAGTAGTAGTGCAGAGGCTGGTCACCTTGGTAATGGTACAGCACCTTGCACCGGCGATATTTCTAGCTGGAATAACATTGAAGGGATTCACAGTGAGAAGGGGATTGATAGTGGACGGCCAAGTTTCGCATTACATAGTAGTTCTTGTCGTTCTGTAGTTCAAGAGACTGAAGTTGTCGGGCCTTCATATGTTGATAAAAGTTTCGAACATAACAACTCT